ACGTCCTTTCATATGACATTCCAGCAGGAAATGCTTGTTCGAAAAAGTCGGGCATGTCGGCAGGGTATTCGGTGAAGCATCTGTTTCCATATTTGAACGCTGACGACAGTACGTCAAAGGAAATGAGAGGTTCCTCCATTAGTGACCCAATAAGTGGACTTCCGTATTCCTTCTAGAATAAGATGATAGGAGCAACTCCTCCATCCTCAAATTTTAAATGTCCTTTCATATGACATTCCAGCAGGAAATGCTTGTTCGAAAAAGTCGAGCATGTCGGCAGGGTATTCGGTGAAGCATCTGTTTCCATATTTGAACGCTGACGACAGTACGTCAAAGGAAATGAGAGGGGTCCTCCATTAGTGACCCAATAAGTGCACTTCCGTATTCCTCTAGAATAAGATGATAGGAGCAACTCCTCCATCCTCAAATTTTAAATGTCCTTTCGTATGACATTCCAGCAGGAAATGCTTGTTCGAAAAAGTCGGGCATCTCGGCAGGGTATTCGGTGAAGCATCTGTTTCCATATTTGAACGCTGACGACAGTACGTCAAAGGAAATGAGAGGTTCCTCCATTAGTGACCCAATAAGTGGACTTCCGTATTCCTTCTAGAATAAGATGATAGGAGCAACTCCTCCATCCTCAAATTTTAAATGTCCTTTCATATGACATTCCAGCAGGAAATGCTTGTTCGAAAAAGTCGGGCATGTCGGCAGGGTATTCAGTGAAGCATCTGTTTCCATATTTGAACGCTGACGACAGTACGTCAAAGGAAATGAGAGGGGTCCTCCATTAGTGACCCAATAAGTGCACTTCCGTATTCCTCTAGAATAAGATGATAGGAGCAACTCCTCCATCCTCAAATTTTAAATGTCCTTTCATATGACATTCCAGCAGGAAATGCTTGTTCGAAAAAGTCGAGCATGTCGGCAGGGTATTCGGTGAAGCATCTGTTTCCATATTTGAACGCTGACGACAGTACGTCAAAGGAAATGAGAGGTTCCTCCATTAGTGACCCAATAAGTGGACTTCCGTATTCCTTCTAGAATAAGATGATAGGAGCAACTCCTCCATCCTCAAATTTTAAATGTCCTTTCATATGACATTCCAGCAGGAAATGCTTGTTCGAAAAAGTCGGGCATGTCGGCAGGGTATTCGTGAAGCATCTGTTTCCATATTTGAACGCTGACGACAGTACGTCAAAGGAAATGAGAGGTTCCTCCATTAGTGACCCAATAAGTGCACTTCTGTATTCCTCTAGAATAAGATGGTAGGAGTAACTCCTCCATCCTCAAATTTTAAATGTCCTTTCATATGACATTCCAGCAGGAAATGCTTGTTCGAAAAAGTCGGGCATGTCGGCAGGGTATTCGTGAAGCATCTGTTTCCACATTTGAACGCTGACGACAGTACGTCAAAGGAAATGAGAGGTTCCTCCATTAGTGACCCAATAAGTGCACTTCTGTATTCCTCTAGAATAAGATGATAGGAGTAACTCCTCCATCCTCAAATTTTAAATGTCCTTTCATATGTCATTCCAGCAGGAAATGCTTGTTCGAAAAAGTCGGGCATGTCGGCAGGGTATTCGGTGAAGCATCTGTTTCCATATTTGAACGCTGACGACAGTACGTCAAAGGAAATGAGAGGGGTCCTCCTTTAGTGACCCAATAAGTGCACTTCTGTATTCCTCTAGAATAAGATAATAGGAGTGTTAGAAATTATTTTCAGAAATGGCTTTCGTATGACCTGAAATAAACGAAAATTAGGGAGAACCAAATGTTATGCCCGTGATAATTCAAACTTAAGTAAAATACTGCATAACATTTCTTGTTAAGTTGTAGGAAATTAAAGTATTGCAAATAAATTTAGCTGTGACTGAGCTTTCATACGATAATTTGCTGTGGCTTTCCACTTCGCCTAACTCTGGAAGCAGAAGAAGAAGTCAATGTCACATATAGACTGTTGGTAATTTGCAAACGCGGATAAAAACAGGCTCATAGTTTATGACCGAAAATCTTCTTATGTATCTTTGATCTTGTTCACTTTGCTTTTCAAAAGAGTCTTTATTCATTTAGGCAATTTCCAAAAATCATTGATGACGGAATATCGGGTCTTATTTGACAACTGCAATGTGATCTTATTCAACTCTTTGTTTAACAATAAATTGTGATGCATAATAATGAAATAATTCATCGTGGTTGGTCTTTTAAGTGACACTTACTCGTTAGGCTTTTCTTTTCCTTCACCTTCGATCTCAAAGTAATGTTCTTCATATAGTGTGGACCTGAAAGCTATTTTTAATATCTTCTCTACCCCCTTAGGTAGTGTATAACTGATGGTTATTTTAAATCCCTCCAATTTAATCCTGGGTAGTGTATACCTGAGGGTTATTTTTAATCTTTTATACCCTCTTGGGTTCTGTATACCTGAGGGTAAGTTTTAATCTCTACTATACTCTCTTGGAAGGTGTATATCTGTGTGTTACTTTTTATCACTTCTATACCCTCTGGGGTAGTGTGGACCTGAAAGCTATTTTCAATATCTTCTCTACCCACTTTGGTAGTGTATACCTGTTGTTTACTTTTAATCTCTTTTATACCCTCCTAGATAGTGCATACCTGAAGTTAATTTTTAATCTCTTCTTTAACCTTTTGAGCAATGTATGCCACAGGGTTATTTTTAATATCCTCTATACCCTCTTGGGTAGTGTATAGCTGATTGTTATTTTAAATCCCTTCTATTTCCTATTGGGTAGTGTATACCTGAGGGTTATTTTTTTAGTTCTTCTATGCCCTCTCGGGTACTGTATACCTGAGAATTACTTTTAATCTCTTTTAGACCGTCTTGGGTAGAGCATACCTGAAGTTCACTTTTAATCTCTTTTATACCCTCTTGGGTAGTGTGTATCTTAGGGTTATGTTTGATCTCTCCAATACCCTCTTTGGTAATGTATAACTTAGGCTTACTTTTAATCTCTTCTAGTGTAAACCTGAGTTTATATAAATTTGGCGCAGAATGGCTTTTGTTTGAAGGACATATACTTACTTAATGGCATGAATTAGTTATGTCGCACTAGAGCTCTCATGTGGGTTGTCGAGAGACTATAATTGGTTGCAGTTTGCCCTTACAAATGCAAATTTACTCAAAACTGCCTGCAGTTGCGAATACCCAGTGGAATTGAACTGTCCATCAAATGTACAAGAAGAGAACAAACAATAGAGTTCCGAGCAATCCCGATCGCTTATTCCGATCATAGGATTATTTAGTAGTCAACCATGTATCTCATTTGCGCCGGACAGCTGCGCTGAATTTCGATTAAATGCCAGCAGTCTTTCCCCGAAACGCCTTTGTGGTCTTCAGAATTAATGTTATGAGAGGTTTCAACGCAATTTAAGCCTCTTGTCCTCTTTCCAAACTTCAGTGAGCAGAAGCGGCTAGTTTAATTTGTTCACGAACGTCACACGCAATTTCTGTCTTTGCTACTGCTACATTTCATTCTATCTTATCCAGAGCTGATCAATTATTCGCGCGATACTTGCTTGAAATGCGGACAATGCGCTTACGAAACGAATTCTTAGCACGCTCTCCCGCTCATGTTTTGAAGTTGCTGAAAGTCGTTAAAACTTAATAATAGCTCGTCCATCAATGCACGACTGAAGGTGTTAGCTTAATGTAAGTTGTCAGCGACAGTTATTCAGGCGTTTATGCCGCGGACGTGCACGTAGAGAGGGTTGATCGTCGGAAGATCGTCTTGTTCCAGGAGAGACTTCTCTTTAAATCGGAGATGTAGTTCTTAAAAGAACTGTTTTGTTTTAGCAAAACGAGATGGAAGGTGGAATCTGTAATAGAACTGCTATTTTTCACTTAAACGGAATGAGGTTCCTAAAAGAACTTTTCTCTACCTTGGAGGCAGACTGTGTTGAAATTAGTCCTCAGGGAATTTTCGATTGCCATAGGCTTTGCTGCGCGATTTGACAAACAAATCTCACGCTTTTGATACTGAACGATAATTCTTTAATTGCAAGGTATGATTATGTCCTTGAGACAAACTACTCGTTCATACATTACACTATGTTGATAGTAACTAACATGTTAGGCGATTCTGCACGGAAAACAAACGAGCGCGATAAATGCTCTGGGTCGGCCGGCAGTACGCGTCAGCACCTCATTGTTAGCAGAGAAGACTTGCAAATGTTTGCTGTTGTACATTTTTTGAAAAGGCATCGGCCCCTCATTGTTTGTTTTTATCCTGTGCTAGACAAATTTGGTGACTAAAATTTTGGGCAGCGAAATGGCACTCTCGAGCCGAATTCCCGTAAGGTTGGCACAGGGCGCAGAAAGCACCTCAAACTTTCGCAGCGGCATTTGACTTTTTACACAGCCACAAAAATATCAATTAGTCTTTACGCGTGAAATGTCAGTGTAAATTCTTTTACATTATTTACCACAAGCGCAAGCAAATTTTTTTTCTCTTTCCACTGAGCAGGATTTGAAGGATTATTCAGAACATGGGCAAAACTGGTTAAAACGTCAAATATCTATCTGCAAATTAAATCACCACTTCGAGTCCCAAATGTATTTCCTCTTTCTGGTGATAGCTTACAACTCTGACTGTCAGCCGTAATCGTAAATGTTCGTCAGAGATCAGAACAAAATCCGGCAGACTGAAAAGTACATTTCAGCCGTTAGTGAACAACTAAGGAAGCGGTGGAGGCAATTAGTTAATTGGTAAGTTGCAAGTAAGTTGGTAAGTTGCAAACGCGGATAAAAACAGGCTCATAGTTTACGACCGAAAGTATTATTATGCATCTTTGATCTTGTTTACTTTGCTTTTCAAAAGAGTCTTTATTCATTTAGGTAATTTCCAAAAATCATTGATAACGGGATGTCGGGCCTTATTTGACAACTGCAATGTGATCTTATTCAACTCTGTGTTTAAAATAAATCATAATACATAATTTTGAATTAATTCATCGTGGTCTGTCTTTTAATAGACACTTAC